GGAGAATATGTAGATTAAACAAGGCTTAGAAAAGTTTTTTTTTTTTTTTTTTTTAAATACGAAAACTGTATTGATGTTTAGTGGGCAGATGTGGGTGATGTTAGGAAATAATCATCATAAACATCAGGATAGTAGTTACATTTAAGAGGGAGAGAGAGTTGTGACTGTGATGGATTAAATAGAGAGTTTATGGATGGCTAGCAAAGTTTAATTTCTTGACTTTAAAGATGGTTTACAAGAGGGTTTCATATTTAATAATTTACTAAGCTATACATTTGTTTAAATCTGTTTTCTGTATCTGTGCTGTATTTCATAATATATTTTTTCACCTGGGTGAGTGAATGTATTTATGAAACAATTTTCAGAGAAAATGTCACAAAAAGTTTTATATTCTATTTCTATATATTAACTATCACCCTATTATGTTGATAAATACAAGAAGTCAAAGTTGATATTTTCCATATTTATTGGTAAGGCTGAGGTAACAACCTTTATATAGCACAATTTGCATAAGTTATCGAGATACATCTTGTATACAATCACAAAACCAAGACATTTTTACATAGAATAAAACTCAAGACAGATTTACAAGCATTTTTTATACAATTCTCATGTATTTGCAGTTCAAGTTATACAACCTTTAGCCCAAGAATTTGTATTTGTTCACTAGATTTTCCAGAGAGGTTTGGGTAAAACAGAAAAAAAAGAACACAGCAAATTACCAACACAGCATGCAACATATAGTTAGAAACAAGACATATCTCCAAGTACTTTATTTTTTATTTTGAAATCAGTTTTATTAGTTTTCATTTTCTCAGACAAGAAAATTATTTTTTTCCTTTAACAACAGTTGTGTTTTTGTTAGGATATCAGCACACATATTAATCAGTAGTGGGAGCACCTGAGCACATTACCAAACAATACAGACACAATCAAACAGTAATTACATTCACATGCTGAATGCCAAATGAAATTAAAATTTCAACTTCGTCTGTTTTACCAAATGTATAGTTATGTACAGGGTAACGAATTAAGAAAATGCTCTCAATCTACCTATCAGATAAGGATCTAATTAAGTTATTTTCGGTTGAATGGGTACTTTTAATAATAATAACAACATGGAACATACAGAAAACATCAATGTGTCACATTCAATGAGAATATCTGCTTCACGCATTCATTCTTGTATTACATCAAAGGCAAGTAGTAATTAAGGAAACAGCTCATATTTATTCATTGAGCTTTCTTTCACTTCCATTTCAAGCTCAAGAAAAGGGGGAAGGGAATCACTTCTGTCACACATATTAATTATAAACACACATATAGCTGTAGTTGGCTGATTTTGGAATATTAGACATTGCTGCAATGAAAATAAGCTTTTAAAAATATTGTTACTTATGATTTAAATAATAAAGTAAAAAAATACTATAAACATCTTTATGATATCTTAATGAAATGAAACATTGATCAAAGAATTTCTAATAAATTGGTCACAATGCAGTGTATAATTTTATGTCACTTCACATCACCACCACTGCTAGTATCACTACTGCTGTCACCACTATTGTCACAACCATTCCTTTCATAAGAATCAATAGCAGCTGGTTACCAGCTATAATATTCCCACAATATGACAATTTTAGTGCGTGTGATCCACAAAACTAATTCCACTGATATATTTGAAAATATGCATTTGATTAGTGTGGTTAATTAAAATATGGGTAATATTAAGGAGCAAAGACAATCTCTGCCCCTAGTCTTGGATACCGTTCTATTAAAGTACAATGGTAAATAAAGAGTTCAGAGTCACAAAAAATCTCTTTAATTTTAAGAAAAAAAATACAAACAGAGAAAACACTAGTTTCTTGCTACTAGTGTTACCTATTTCTATAACAACTATCCTATAAATCCCTGTCTTTCATAAAAATTCACACTGTGCTTTTGTTTCTACATCTGAAAATTTCTTTAGGACCAAATCTTAAACCAAGAAGCAACTTTAGTCTCTGATGACACAGTGAACTTGTAGGAAAAATTAAAATGCTTTTCAAAGTTTGGTGCTGTAATTAGACTAAACACATGTTATTTAGAGATTATAAACTTTATCGCTACTAAGATTAAAAAATAAACTAACTCCAATAAAATAAAATAAACAGTGGAAAATCATGTGCTATGATATATACAAAAAAGTAAAAAACACCAAGAGCCCTATTTTTAATTAAAAAAGAAATTATTTCATTGTAAGAAGGGTAATCACCATCATTCAGAAGAAATGTATTCATATAAGGATCAGTGTTGCATAGAATAATTCCAGTACAACCCAGGAGTTTGGTCAGCTGCACCCTTGGCACACGTTGGCAGGATCTTACACTCTCTGAAGGGGGATGCTGGTGCACAAAAAGAAGCCCTGTCGTTAACTCATAGTTGACCTGGCTCCACCGCTAGTTCCTTGGAAACTAGGGACCCCTATATGAAAAGACTCCAACTCTTTCAGGTCAAATAGCTACCAAAGGATGTTCTTTGTTTTGGTGGCCCCTCCATTTGTATTTTTCCAAAAGAAATTCCAATTGGAATGAATTAAACTAATTGGTCTTACAACCTCTCATGCCTACATCTGGATGCAAGTGGCTGCAGAAAAGGACCAAAGGTGAGCTAGGGTTTCCTTTTAATGGCAAATAGCAGAGCCTTTTTATACAAGAAGGAGATCTTCTGGACCCTTTTTTCCCTCAATTATGAATGATAATTACAGGCTTCCTCAAGTGCTACCTTCTGCTGGAAATATCCATGGCAACCATCAGCAGATCTAGTCGCCTCTAAAAATAAAATCCTAGCAACATCAAATCTTTAATGATCCACTCTCCCCATGCTCAATCTAGAGCAACATGAATGGTAAATGACATTGCATTGTCAGGGGAGATGGGGATAAAAAATAAAGGGAATAAATGTGATGTTATCTTTCTTAGGTTAGGAAAAAGTAAATCTGTATTTTTTTAATGAATCTAATAAAGATATGTGGCCTGGGATCTATTAGAAATTCTTTTATTTTTAGCGTTTTATATTAAATTCTCAAATGCAAGGTTTTTTTTTTCTAAAAATGAGAGAATTCCATATCCAACCAATGTACTTAGAGGTGATTTCCTCATCCCACTAATCACTCTTGAACAAAGCAGCAGTTTTTAAGGTCAGAATTCTCTGAGAAGCACTTATTTTGGGTGGAATATGGGGATGGGATAAGAAGATCAGTATAATTCATTTAATTTAGGATAAAAAAATTGCAATCATTTTTCATTTAATTCTTCACCTTTTTTTAGGTTTAAATGAAAGCTTACATTTTAAAGAAAAGGAATAAAAGAAATTTTGGAGCTAATTTTCTGCTTTTATCCATGCCATTGCTTGCCATTGGTTCGGAGGATGCTTTTTCACATATAAAATTTGAGAATTAAAAAACTGTGTAATAATTGTTCCTCACTTCTGTATGTAAAACTGTATTTGGAAATGTGCTTTCATTTTCTTTCATAGATAATATGGTTTGATCATCCCAATATCCCATTAGGAAGGGCGGGGATAGAAATATGATCACTTCGCTCCTACAGATAAGAAAACCGGGGGAAAGTGCGCTTAAGTGACATATGCAAGGTGACACAGTCAGTGGCAGAGCCAAGACAAGGAACCAGCCTTTTAACCCCAACTGAGTATGTTTTTCATAACTCCATGGTACTTCCTTTATTAAGGTTGTTGGTTGATGAAGATAACAGCTTCATTTTAATGATTTAGACATTGGTAATTTTATTCTATGTTATTAAAATAGCTCAAAGTATAGTTTGATCTCAATATAATGCTAAATTTTCACATATTTTCCCAACATTGATGAACTTTGTCACTGTGATATTGTTATTAAACAGCACTAGAGAGAACTTGAGTTTGGTGTCAAGGTTTTCATTACAATCACTTAATGTGTTGGACAGAGAAAAAAGATTACAGAAGAGCAGGAACTGACACCAATTTAATTAGTCTATGTCACAAGATTAATATGATTTGTTTGCCAGAGAAAGAATTTTCTCTCTCTGTCAAGACATCATTCAAGAGAAATGGAATATGTGGGATAATATATTTATTTGCAATTCCATGAAAAAAAAGTTCTCATGCTTGCTAGAACATATCAATTTAATCTGAGTCCTTTGGTATGTAGATTGAAAATGCCTTGGCTTAAGGGTAAATTATGAAGATTTTTATGTTTTCAACCAAGGTTCCAATATTTTGTGGGCAAAATTCTTCTTTGTTAGCCAGTCATCAACGTGTAGAAAAGTGGTGGCTTCATTTCTAGAATAAATGTAATTTCATTTCTACCTAGTCACTCTGTAATTATTCCACACTATACTGCAAAAAATGTGCTTTTACCACATGGATTTCAAAATTGATGTTTTATACTCTTTTAACATGTAGACACAAGAAAAAACCTGTACAATATGGTCTACAAGTCATAATTTCCATCTCTCCTCTTCCCTTTTTCTCTAGCAAAATAACTATCTCACTTCCGATCCTCAACACATATCCTAGGAGTATCCTATGTCAGAATCTCAAAACAGTAAATTGTCTGAGAGTATAAGCCGAAGAAGAAAGATTTTTGGACTTTTGAAATCTGAGATTTGTTATGTCAGTTCCTTCCTTTTGACCAAGGTTCTTTTGCATAAAGGATTACCTATGTGCAGAATTGAAAACCATATTGAGCTTTCAGCCCATGCCTTTAGCTGCAGCTCAACTCTGCTCAATGATTTTGATTTACATATTCAACATTTCTCTCAGTTTCTCTTGAAAGCCATAAGAAATAAAAGGTCTCAGAACTTTTATTTTTCCTCAACACACGAACTTTTTCACTTGAGTCTTATTCTGTGTTTCACAGCAACAAATTTACAAGGCTTTAAGTATGTTTTTGCCTGTTGTACCCCCTCTTGTGTCTGCCAGTGAAAACATAGCTTAGTACAATAGTATCCAACTCTGATCTTGATTTGAAGCTATTTAGAGCAGTTTCTATGCCCTGAGCAGACAGATAACATTTCTTCAATGGGTTTGAGTTGGACTGACCAAAAGTTTGTGCCAGTTGACTATTCTTTTTCTTAGATCCACTTTGTCAAGCCAGATACAGGCTTCGCCAATCAAAGTTTTCTTCATAAACTTTCCTCCATTGGAGAAAAGTAAAATCTAGAAAAAATATCCAAAATTATGTCTATGTATATATTTTTCAACCTCTCTTAAGAACATTTGATCATCAAAGAAGTAGCACAGAGAAGAGAGGGTAGTGGTGGAAGGAAATAGCAGGCATCCTTGTAAGAGAACTAATAACCAGATGCTCTCAAAGATTTGCATATAATAAATTAATTGACTTCAACATTTCTTATTGTTCCTCAAAGGAAAAGACACATCCTGAAGTACATGAGAATTCTAAATGTAAAATGTACTGCAACTAATGCTGACTAGGTTTATGATTAAACTGATGGAAAGTTCCACAAAATAACTTTGTGAGGAACTTTTTTTTTTTTTACTAGTTTATAAAATACTAACTCAATTACAAAATTACCTGAGAACTAAGTAAGTAAATTAGAGTTCATATGGCAAACTGAACATAACATTAATTTTATTTTGTATTTAATTTACTGGTGGCTTTACTACAGTATGCACTTTCAAAGTGTTTTTGTTGTTTTTAAATCATATGTAGAATTTATATTAGTTGAAATCCTTAGGCTCTTATATCCAAGATATTTTTAAAGAGATGGGTTGAAAGAAAGATAGAGGATGTTAGGTGGAATTAATCATTATATTAACAATACAGACAGATAGAGATATATACATACACACACACACATATATATCAATATATATCAGTATATTAACAGTACACATAATGAGATATTTGTATACATATAACCAAAACTCGTTGCTGTCGAGTCATATATATATCTCATAAAAACTCATTGCTCTTGAGTCGATTCCAACTCCTAGCAGCCCTATAGGACAGAGTAGAACTGTCTCATCGGGCTTTCGAGGCTGTAATCTTTTACAGAAGCAAACTGCCACATCTTTCTCCCTTGGAGCATCTGGTGGGTAGCCGAGTGCTTAATCATTGTGCCATCAGGGTTCACAGATATGTGTGTGTGTGTGTGTGTGTGTGTGTGTGTGTGTGTGTCTGTGTGTGTGTGTACAGAACTGTGTGTGTGTATAACAGTATAGAAGCAGTGACACATAAGTATGTAAATTATTGTACAAGGCAGTATGGGATTACTGGTATTATTAAGCAAAATCTTAATGTGATTAAGTGTATGATGAATTATACACAGGGTCATCAGTAAAGTCACTGAGATTACACTGAAAGATGTGGGGCTTTGTGATGAAGGGAGAGAAATGGAGAAAGGAGCTTTAAAGGGGAGGAAAACTATGAGCAAAGCTCGGGGCTTAACCTGATTTGAAAAGAGTCTGGTGTGACTGGAGCATAAAAGGAGATGAGATTAAATTGATAAAATTAGAACTCACCTTAGGACCCTGAATGAGCCATGATAATGATTACTGAGAGGTTTTAATATGACCTAACCAATTTTTTTTTTTTTAAAAGATAACTCTAGCAGCACTGTGATGAAATGAATTAAAGGGGAAAGACGTGGATGACAAGTAGGCCAGGTGTCCTGCTGAATTGTTTGTGTAACGGAGATGGAGGCCTAAAGAGGAGTAGTGGCAGTGAGTATGGAAGTAAGAGAAACTGATGTAAAATGAACTTAACAGACAGACTAGAGAAAACTGGGCAACCAACTGAATGGGGTGGGTACAGTGTTCAATTCTAAGGGCACCCTGGGTGTATACATCTAAGGATTAACTGACTTGTCAAATGTCACATGGTATATAATCAGTATATAAATATTGAATAATTGAATGGAAAATAAATAATACAATATGAATAAAAATTTTAAGATGGTAATTGTATAACACAGAGTTACCTGAAGAGAATGTCCAGCAGGACTTAGGCTGAATCTAAAAGTTTCATTGAATGAAGGTTCTCGATCATGTCTACATACTCGTGTTTTTTTCTTGATCACTTTTTTTTGGGTAGAGATGTTTAACACATATATTTTCACATACAAATCTGAAAATAAGAATTCATCCTGTTAGGTGTCCAACAAGCATAACATTTTCTATTGAAAGAATGATAATTGTATACCGAGAGCTCGTCCTACATTTTAAGCAACGCCAGCAGATTGTATAAAATTTATTTCAGACAACTTAAAAGCTATAAAAAGATGTACCAATTTTCTTAGTGATTTACATTCATTTTCCTGTAGTATAATAACTACATCCTCTAAGTCTATATATTGAAAAATAACTAGCTAAAAACTGGAAAAAATCAGAGATTTAGCTACTTGTCCTATAAACAAACAATTATTAAAATACTATTTGGCATTTTTTCTGCTATATTTGGTATATAGCGCAAATGTTCATTAGCATTTTTCAGTATATGTAGGATATATCCCTAATGAATTCTTCAATATATTATATTGCACATTGTCATGAAATTAGATACCTGGTAAGTGATCGGGAGATTTAAATTTGTAAGTGATGTTTCTGCATTGGAGGATTTCAACTATTAGCTGTTCACCGTCTGTCTTCATCTCCTTCTTCAATGCAATCTTTATTTCACCCATTACTTGAGTTTTAACTGGAAGATTTAAACAAAAAGTTAAAGAATGTATAATGCCATTTTTTAAGTGTTTAGTTGATTTGTTCATTAACTTAGTGATAAACACCTTATTGCAATCTTTGGCTACACAGATGAAGAACACATGAACTGAGCCCTCAAGGAGTGAATGATCTTATGGGGAGACTGAAAAAAATACAGATACTTGCAACACATTATGTTAGGTATAATGATAGGCTAGTAACAAGGGAGGTATGGAAGAAATATAAGTAAATAACTGTTATTCAATTGTGGATTTTTAGGCCAAACAGGGTAGGTGACACTACAGAGGTAGGAAGAAAGATGTAGATAAAAATAATAAAATTCTAATATAAGTTTAGGAAATAATAAGTCCTTTGAAATACAAGAAGCTGTTTGCCAACAATTGCCCATTACCAGCATTGTAAAAGAACACTTGCTAGACAACTAAATTTCACTGTAAATGATTTTATTCCCTTTCTGTTCATATATTATTTTACTCCCTTTCTGTTCCCTTTGTATAAGAAATAGGCAACAAGAATAGATAGCAATAAAATTGCAAAGGCAAAATACGATGCACTATTTAAACTGAACTCAATATATCCCCCCCCCCGTATTTATCTTCAATCTTTAACATTCATGCAAGGTCAAATGATTATTTTTTCTAACTCACCCGTTCATCTATCAATTCATACATGTGTTTACTTATTCATTCAACAACCAGTATTTTATTTCTAACCCTACTCCTGGTTAAGCACTCTGCCAAGAAGAATGGATACAATAGTGAGTCAAAACAGGTGTAGTCATTGGTTTCTTAGTTATTGCTCATCTATTTCCTTGATATTGTGAGTGGACGTCAGTAATATAAACATTTTAAATAAGTATAAACAAACCCATTTAAATCAATCTGTTCTATTTAAAAGACCTTCACAGAAAAATAATCTATAAAGTAAAAAAGAGAAAATGAAGACAGATCTCAGAGTTTTCCTTTTTAATATCTAGAGAAATTAGCAAAAAAAAAAAAAAAAAAAAGTAAAATCTAGGAAAATGTTAACCAGTAACAGTCAAACAAGCTACTGGTTAACAATCTCATCCCAGAAAACCCATAAAGTGGTGTCTAGGAATGAAGAGGCAGATTTTGGTAAGGCACAACTTTGCAGTATTCCTAACCACAGTATACCCCAGAAGCTAGCAGGGGAAGAAGGATGAGTTAGAAAACCTCTGAGAATTCTCACTAAATCTCCCCATTACAGAGAGGTGGATGAATAGAGACTGGCCAGCCACAAGAAAAAGTCAAACTAAACTCTTGAGAGTGGTAGCTTTGGCTCATCATTACAAAAAGTTGAGGCTCTCAGTAGAACCAGGAAAACTGCCAGGGCTTCCCATTTTCCAGGACTCCAAGACGGAGTAGGAAAAATATTCAAAGCTGAGAATATATAGGACACACCTTGGCTTGGTAGCTGGCACAAAGCATTTAATCAAATCTCAAATGAGGGAGCAAAGTTCAGTCAACTAGGGCCACACACAGCTCTAATGGAGCTCTGTCTTTTTCATTTATAGCCTTAGAAAAGCAGACAGAATTGCTCCATCTCTCACACAGTATCTGGGATGGACGGAAAAACAAGATTCCAACATAGTAGGGAGGGAGTCAAGGAAAATTCACTTACACTACTTACAGCCAATAGAAGTTATGGGCAGAACTGATTATAATAATGAGAAGATCAAACGAAATATCATGTCAACTTTTTCTAGGAGAAATTCCCTTTTATAGGTCATATTTCTCTTTCGTAGGCCTGAAACGCGCACCAACACTCCAGATGTTTAAAGTTTGTTGTTGCTGTTGTTGTTTTTTCCCACTTTCTCACTTGGGAAGAGTGGTGGAATAAAAAACTTGCTAATTAAAGTTCTCAAGTCATCACATTGCCTGCTTCTTTCTTGGAGGGTTAAATTCACATGCTTCACAGGGCGATACTTGTGAAGTTCTTGAGGAGTTTCTCTCTGTTCAAAGATGATTTGCTCTTTACTGCTTTTAGTAAAGGAAGAAAGGTATATGTTTATTGAAGTGGGCTCAAAGGAGTTGACTGAATTAATTGTGATGGTCATCTCTACCAATCACAGTTTAGGAATGCCTTTGTCATTTGAAGTCTATTCCTGGATGCAGACAAAACCCTCGGTGTCCACTGTCTCCAAAAGGAGGCAGAGCAACTTAAGATCTGTACCCATCTTTGAACCAAAAACAAAAAACAAAAAATTTCACAAATACAGAGGACTTGTGAAGATGTTTTGTCATTGGGTTTGGAATAAATAAATGGGCAGTAGCATAAAGTTTTGACCAATCTCTAGGTTTCTTAAAAGTTCTGAAACTTGTGCTTCTTTGGTTTTACTAAAAGAATAAGGGCAAATCCTACTCTAGAGAAGGTATTTATTCTAGATTGCATCACATACCTACAACGCAATAATATGAAGGAGAAGGGGGAATAAGGGGAGGGAGAGAACAGTTCTCATAGTTAAATAATGAGATTTAAAAATAATAGATTTAAAAAAAACCAGGGATTACAGAGCTAAAGAAACAATTCTATTTCAAAACTATTAGTTAAATCATCACGTAACAAAATTAGATAAGATAGAAATTAATATAATTGACATAGTGGAAAGAAAGGCTTGAGATGATATAGAAAGGAAAAAAGACATTAAAGAAATTACAGAGAGAACACTGACAGATATGTAGAAAAGAAAAATACAATCCAATGTAACTGGTTTCTCTGAAAATATAAATGCAAAAGAATGAAAAATAACATGTATTTAAAAATATAAAATATTCCTTTGAAATAATGGAAGAGTGAATCTATGGATCTAAGGAGCATCCTATATTCTAAAAAACATTGACAGATTGATACAGTGATATATTTTATTCAAGCTATTCAACTTCAAAGATATAGAAAACATTCTTTAAGGATCCAGGGAAAAAATAAGTCTCCTGTAGTAGTGTAAGAAGTGGGCTGACCTCAGATAGCAACATTCAATACTAGAAGTCAAAAGGACTATGTCTGCAAATATCTGAGCGGAAAATGTCTGATCCTATTTATCATCTGTGTGTAAAAAGAACAGACAGCCATTCTCAAATACTTAAGGGACTGTGGCAGAGGATATAACAATGAAAGCAGAGAGAGAGGGGAGGGAGAAAGGTAGGAAGAAAACATGTGTATGTCATATCTACGTGTGCACATTTCTACAAATACATCTATGTTTTATTTTTTAGAGAAGTACATTTTAAGAAAGCATCACAATTAATAGAACGCTTACACTCATTTTCTCACAGCAAGAATTAAGATTGGTATAAATCCTATTTTTACAGATGAGAAAACTGTAGCTTGGATGTCTTAACTTGCCAAATTCTTAAGTGGCCCAGGCAGGCAATGAATTTTACCTTCTGATTTTAAGTCTAGGGTTCTATTCAGTCATGAAAACTTTATACTTTCTTATTAATAAGATTGCTTAGACATTGACTCATTCATGGAAATATTCATTTTATAAACATTTTTACAATACAGTATCAGAATAAAATGGTTTTCAAGGGCTAAAATTTGCTATTTTAATTTAACCACATATAACCCATTGCCTTCGAGTTGATTCCAAGTCATAGTGACCCTGTAGGACAGAGTAGAACCGCCCCTAGGGTTTCCAAGGAGCAGCTGGTAGATTTGAACTGCTGACCTTTTGGTTAGCTGCCGAGCCCTTAACCACTGCACCACCAGGGCTCCAACCACATATATACCACACGCACACACTCCTTGCCGACAAGTCGATTCCGACTCATAGCAACACTATAAGACAGAGTAGAACAACTCCATAGGGTTTCCAGGGAGTGGCTCGTGGATTCGAACTGCTGACCTTTTAGTTAGCAGCCAAGCTCTTAACCACTAAGCCACCAGGGCTCCCAACCACATAAAAGAACTTAGAAATAAGAGGGCATAGTAAGCAACTCTCTAAGTCATGTAAGCAATGGAAGATCTCTTCTAGAAGTTAATGTCTACACATACACTTCAGGTCAATTATGCAGGTTATATCAACAAAAACCACAATAAAAATTTCCTGAAGTATCCATAATTATATACACCCTGTATGAAACATATGAACTAATTTAAAATAAGTTGCTATTCATTGAGAAAATATTTCATCTTTATTGCATTATTGATAGCTTTACCACAACTGGACGTAGGGCAAATTGAGTTTACTTTCTTTCAGAACTCTGAGACTTCTATTGCTTTTGTCATTGCAAGAACATTTTTGCCAAAAGACTCTTTGGAGACAACCTTAATTTACTGGAAGTGAATAAAATGTGCTGCTACTTTGAAAAAGGCGAAGAATGGTATTTTTTACAAGAGGAATCTTTGTAGGGAAAAAAGCATAGAGTGAATACATTTCTCTTCAACACTTAAAATTTCCTTACATTAGTAAATTTCCATTAATACTACACACCAATGCCGCAGGTTACTGGCGCTAGCTAATGAAGTCTGAATTGGTGTTAGATAAGGTGCAAATTTAGGCCTGACAGTCTATCACCTCATAATTTATTCCCTAGCACCAATCACTCATTCCAAATCTAAGAAAAGTCTAATGTGGTGAAATCAAGGTGGATTTTAAAAAATAGGAATTCTGGCTTCTAGCCGTGTGGGATGTCAAGCCAATCATTAAAGCTCTCTTGTTTGTCTTTCCTCATATGTAAAATGAAAATATTTAACAAGATAATTTATAACAACTATTTCAGCTTTCCAAGTCTATAAAATGTTTGGACAGTTTTTGATATTACCTAAACATAGTTTAGCCCTTGACCTTCACTAGTTAAAAGTCTTTTGTTTTATAAGACAGATAATTTTGTTTGTCAGATCGATTAGTATTTCCAAATTCAGTCATTATGGAAAATCTTATTAATGTCCTAATACCTGTCAGCAGCCAAACTAGTGATGTATATTTCCTAGTGTATTATTTTATTTTCCTTCCTC